TACCTGATCGACGTCCGCAGGCCTCGGAGTCACCTTCTGCTATCTCTTATTATTGTTTATCCTTTATTCAGACAGTGATGTATGTTGAAATTTTAGTATTTTTTGTAGAGCTTATGACTCAGTCTTACCGGGTTTCGGGAAATATTGTATTGTGGTTCAATGTTGGGATCTTTCTGAGGTATATTAGTTTATATCATGTTACCAGGCTCTATTTCTGTCACATTCTCTAGTTTTTTATGCTTACCTAGTCTTAGACACTAGATGCCATCACGACATCCTAAGGCGAGAAATTGGGGTTGTGACAGGCTTACTGGAGTTCAACCAGAAACATGGCTAATTGCAAGAAAGATGAAAGTCGTTGGCGAAGTAAAAACTAGGTGAAGTCCCTGCAAGAGCTGCGTGGAAATTGTTGCCAAAAATGATGATGGAAAACACTTAATGTAGCAACAAAAAAAACAGTGGTAGAATATTAAGAAAAGGAAGAAGGGAAACTGGTGAGTGAGGAAAAGGTGAAAGCACTATAGGATGGGTCTAGAGAACTAGAATTCTATAGTTGCAAATGCATAGGAGAAGCCAAGGGTATCACAACCCAAAATCCTAACCCGTCGTAATGGCACCTAACACACTTGCTAGGAAAGCCGACAATCCCATAACCATTAAACATTTGAATAATACATGCTTTAATGAACTCAACAATGGAAAGTCTCATAAATATCTGATAAAAATAACTAAAACTCTACTACAACCATCCTAAAACGTGGTGTCAACAAGTACGTGATCACTACTAAGTATCAACAGAGCCAAAACTCTAGTACAACTATATGAATAATAGAACAGTACGGAAAGCATGAATGGAAGGAGAGTCAAGGTCTGCGAACGTCATAACAGCTACCTTGAAGTCTCCAAGCATGCATTGGCAATGATCTAGCAATCACCACGTCCAGATGTACCTGGATATGCACACGATGATGTGCAGAGTTTAGTATGAGTACAACCGACCCAATATACTCAATATGTAACAGAACTAACCTTGGGCTGAAAGCAGTGACGAGCTTAGAAGGATACAGTCAGAACCAATATAATGGCAACACAGATATAACAATGAGAATGACAGTAATAGCTCAGAGAAATTCCATATTCAGCTCGTTCACCGTACAGAAATTTAGACACGCTTTCAAGTTCACAATTAATGACCAACACTGATAAGAACATGTCAAGTATAGCTAGCATGAGGAATGGTACATCCCTATGCCTACATGTCAAATATGCATGTCAAAAGTAAGGTATCACAGTGATATTTTCAGGTACTCACACTCTCAGAGTACTCAATGTGTCTATCTCAAATTTCCACTCATCACACACACAATCACTAAGCACTGTACAGGTGCGTGGCATCAATGCCTCTCACCAAAGCACGTGTATATATTTCACTGTGTCTGCGCTCACTGCTGGTATGTCAGACTCCAGAGGGACGGATCCTGTCCAAGCGCTAATATAAATCCTATAAGGCCTGCTGCGGCGTGCATCCCGATCCACAATAATAAATAAGCCAATAAGGCCTGCTGCGGCATGCAGCCTGAACCACAATAACACTCACAACTCGGCTCTCAGGCCCAACTCAGTCATCAATATCTAAAGTCTCAAGGGCTCACAATCTCATACTACTTAGCCCAACAACAAGAACATGTATGTAACAGTAAATGATAATGCAGACTGAGATAAGATATGCAAATAAAGGATCATGACTGAGCACATAATTGCAGTTAAAGCAAATAACTCAAACTAGCACAAATAACCTCACTAGGTCTCAACAGAATAAGCACATAACCTAATCATGATTTCCAACATGAATCATAGTTCACTTACTCTAACAAATAAGGATTTCACAGATAGGAGAAGACTTGTTAACAACACTATACAAAAGAATCAACCGGATCATGATTTCCATGGTGCACGCCCACACGTCCGTCACCTAGCATGTGCGTCACCCCAACACAAACAATATAGCACGTTTTCCATGGATTCATACCCTTAGTTCCAAGTTTAGAAGTGTTACTTACCTCCAAGTGCACAACTCAATGCTCTAATAAACACTTGCCTCGCGAATCGGCCTCCGAACGACCCGAATCCCTTTAGTCTAGGTAGAAATCTCTCCAAAAATCGCCCTAGCCCGAACTTCAAAATCCCAAAAATGGAGAGAATCACATATCCCTTCGGATTTAAACACTGCCCTGTGCTTCTGCGGGCTCAACCACCGCTCCAGCGATTCTTCTTTTGCGGAAGAAAACTCGCTTCTGTGAAAAATCATCAAAATTCCTAACCTGCCATTTCTACAGCCAAATCCCACTTCAGCGGGTCGCTTCTGCGGTCCAATTAACGCATTGCGGGACCTCTCCGCTTCTGCGACTCAGCCTCTCCTGCCTCAGACCCGCTTCTATGGAACTTCTTGCACACCTGCGGGCTCGCAGATGCAGAAAGTACCTCGCATATGCGACCCCTTCCAAGCCCAGCCAAACTCCGCATCTGCGCCTTCATGGCCACTTCTACGGCTCCGCACCTACGGCCAAAACCTCGCAGGTGCAGTTACACCAGAACTAAAGCCATCAGAAATTCCTTAAGTCCAAAACTCAATCTGAATTACCCCAGAGGCACCCGGGACCCCATCCAAACATACCAACATGTCATAAAACATGATACGAACTTAGTCGAAGCCTCTAATCACATCAAACAACATCAAAAATATGAATTGCACCCTAATTCAAGCCTAACGAAACTAATGAATTTCCAATATCTAAACCAATGCCGAAACCTATCAAACCAACTCCGATTGACCTCAATTCTGCACACAAGTCATAAATGACACAACGGACTTACTCCAACTTCCGAAACCATAATCTGATCCTGTATCAACAAAGTAAACGCTCGGTCAAACTTCTCAACCTTCCAAACCTTTAACTTTTCAACGTTCGGCAATTCAAACCAAAACGATCTACGAACTTCCAAATCAATATCCGGAGATACGCCTAAGTCAAAAATTACCATACGAAGATATAGGAACTATCAAAACTCCATTCCAGAGTCGTTTACACATAAGTCAACATTCGGTCAACTCTTTCAACTTAAGCTTCCAACCTTGGGACTAAGTATCCCAATTTATTCCGAAATATCCCCGGAACCAAACCAACCATCCCGGCAAGTCACATAACAACAAATGCATATAGAATAAGAAATAAATAAGGGAACGGGTTTACAATACTCAAAACGACCGACCGGTCATTACAGAGGGAGACAAATTAAAAGGAGAGATTATTTATCTTTTATATTGATTGTTCTTTCACCGGATATGGATCGATGGTGATCAATGACGTGAAAGAGCGTTTGGTATAAAGATTCAAAAACTTTCAGGATTTTTTGATTCCTCCAGCCAATTGAATCTGAACTGAAGCAGAGAAGAGAATTGACTCGACAACTTCGGCAACTTTCTGCAGCTTCGGCATTCGGCGGACGGCACCTTCATGCTTTTTCTTGTTCCTTTTTTTAAAGCTTTTTAAATTTCTTTAAGTTAAGTCCATGTATCCTCATTTTATTTGTCACTCTGGAATGTGAATTGCACGCACCTTCTGCCTATCAATTTTGTATCTAAATAACAGACTAACAGCGCAGTTTAAAGTGTTCAAATAGGACAAACTTAAGATGAAATGTCTAAATGAAAAGTATTGACAACTTTAAGGGTTGTCAATGTATTATGCCTATTTATTATGGTGTAACAAATGTCAACACAGATGATTATGAATTGAGGTCTAGTTTTGCGACTAATTTGCTGCTGATGCAATTTGGTTATGTGCATGGTTCGTGTCAGATTTAGCTAATTAATTAGTCGAGTTTTAATGGTCCATAGCTATTATTCGCATTCAATCGTAAGAATAAATGAGATGATATGAATTCACTCGCTGTAATTTCTTGTTTATGAAAATAGTATTAACACAATTTAGAAATACTTATCACATTATTAAAATCAGAAAAGGAAATCAAATGTCAATCGTGACGATTATCACCTTTACCACGTCCTCCTTAGCATCACTTGTTATCTGGTGCAAAAGTCGAACTTCTGTTGAGGCTTTCTAATATTGATCATCTTTACCACCTCCATCTCTTCTACTGAATCTTCTGCAAGTTCTTTGTCTCTTTTTACTTGTAAGTTAAGTTCTTCTCCACGGCATATTTTGATTCCGATTTTAAACCCGCGTTGCAAAAAACTTAGGAAGAAGAATGTTGCTACGCCACTTCATACCCTTTATTTTTATTTTATGAACGAAGGGAGTGCTATCTATTTGTTTCTTTTAGGAAGATGATTTTCCGCCGATACAGCAAGGAATGATTAATACACACCAAAAGCCCATAATTCTAAAGATAGGAGATAGAAAATTAGTTATACCAAAAAAAAAAAAAAATGTATACAAGAGCAAGTTGGCAGCCCCACCTTCCGAAAGGCTAAAAGTACAGTACATTTTGAAAGTGAAGGTCAACACAATCGATCATGAACTCCCAAAACGCATATACGTCCAAGGTCTAAGCATACCTTAATGACACGTGTGCTTGTGTACCACCAAAGAATCTAACACTTGAGAAGCTAATATTCTGTTAAATCCTCATATAATAAAATATTAAAGCAAGAAATAATTCTAACTCAAAGAAAAAATATGTACCATATGTGCCAGTGGAAAGTGGAACAAAGAAAAATATTTGTGTGAATAGATTCATAGATCGCAACATGTAGAAATTGCTTCATATATATCACAGGTTCAAGGGAAGTAAAAGAACAAAAGGAATATCAGAAATTAAAATTAAAAAAAACTGGAAGGAATCAAGAAAATAACACTGAATGATTCGTAACAATCCTTACATTAACACTAGAAATACATACAACTTCAGAGTTGTACAATTCAACAGTTAGCTCTTTCTTTTTTTTTTTCTGAAACCCTAGTTCTTTAATCTGGAAAATAAGATCAACTAGTAAAAACTTTCTTGTCAATAATACCATACTAAAAACCAATATTTTAGATCACTAGTTTAGATAGAGTACTTCGGGATGTGCAGCAAAAAGTTCAAGAATTCTGCAGCTTAGCTGCAAAAATATTGAGAAGGTCTGGGTACTGAAATATGTCTCCCATCATGTTGTCTCCTGATGACACCTGAAGATTTGCTGCAAAATCTTGATGATACATTGGAAAAGATGATGAAGTTTGTGAGAATTCAAATCCACTGTTTAAACCATCATTAATCTGCTGTGGAATATTACAAACTCCAGATAATTCTCCTTTACTAGAGGAAGGGAATGGCTCAGACTTGCTGGGCTTGGGCTTTGGGAAAAACCCATTTAAGGCCTCTTCCAGTAATCCAGAATCAGATGGCTCTGAAGGAAAAAAGTCCATTCCCGAATCATCATCAATACAAGTACTGTTGTTGTTGAGTGAATGAACGTTTTCAATTTTTGGCAGAGTCATAACGGAGGAGCTGGGAATATTGGCGTTGCTAGTAGTGGGTAAAAAAGTGGAAGAAGAAGAGGTATGATTCATCAAATTAGAAGTTGAAGAATTCAAACCAATACTAGTATTATTGCGACTAAACATTAAAGGAAGCTGTTCATACAAAGGCATGTTGTTGTTAAAGCCAGTGTCTGAAGAAAGGGAAGTAGTAGTAGTATTGGAAGAATTGGAACTAAGAAGTTCACGAAATAGAAGCATGTTCAACGAATCATTGCTTTTCTGAGTCGCAGTAGCAACTGTAGTACCATTGACACCCCTAATGCTAGAACCATAAGAAGGCAAATAATTAGATGAGTGCAAAAATTGTCTGTTCGACAAGTCCTTTAGAGCAGCCTGATAGGGAAATGACTTAGCACAAGTATAGTTAAACGAATTAGGAATATTAAGAAACGTTAACCCATCATTAGTTGAAGTAGGTTGAGTAGGAGAAGGAGGGTAAACAAAATTTGTTCGTGCTTTAACACCGCGCATGGCTCTAGCAGCACAATCGTAAGCACAAGCAGCTTCTTCTGCGGTATCAAAAGTGCCGAGCCACCTCCTTTCTTTAGACTGAGGGTCTCTTATCTCCGCTGCATACCGGCCCCAAGGACGGCGGCGAACGCCACGGTACCTCACCGCCCCGACAGATGAACCACCACCGTCTTTGAGTGATCTTTTGTTTGCGCCACATGATCTCTTCGTGGTATAAGTGGTGGTTTGAAGAGGGATATCGGATTCTTGGTTAAGTCTCCTCATCGCATCTTCCATTTTTTTGTTTTATGATATGAGAACTATGCAAAAAACAAAACTAAAAAGGAGCCCTGTGATCAGCAGTTGAAATTAATTCACTGCAACTGTACGTAGGAAGAAGCTAAACGTTTTTCAGGAGTTGCAAAGGAGAATGTATGTAGGGACTCTGAATTTGAGCTTGTATTTATAATGCCATGGCTGTTGCGGTTGCATCTATAAATGAGAATTTATGCGTTGCCACGGGCATTTAATAGAAAATAAATTCTACAGCTAGTATAAATGAACTTAAACAAAACACTAGTGTAATAAATTTTTTGTCTCATCAATAAGAATTTACTGTGTTATAGAAAGTCTTTTTATTAATATTTAATTCAAGTTTTATCAAATAAATGCTAGTATGTACTCCTCTCCAAATTAACAGTCACTTTTAGCTCAAAAAAAGATTGTCACTAAATAACGGTCACTTTCGTAATTCATGATTAACTTGGTTAACTATTTTCAACAATACCCTTTGATATCAAAAGAAGAAATAGTTCTTTTTAATGTTGTTCAATTTTCAAAAAGCATTTAATAGAGAGATAATTTGATAAACTATACTTCATCCGGTCCACAATAAGTGACCAATTTACTTTTGGCACGTCCATTAAGAAAATACTAAATTCTATATAAAAATACCGACTAAACTACCCTTAATTAAATATTTAATGTTAAGAGTAAGAAAACTTTTTAGGGATATGTACATAAGGTTAATTTTCTAAAAACAAAATGAATTCCTTCTTGATTATATAGATGGACACTTATTTTGGACTAAAACAAAAAAGGAAATTGGTCACTTACTGTGGAACGGAGGGAGTACCTTGTATTTATTATTTTCTTAAATGGCATAAAGTGCTAAAGTGCCATCTGGAAATTTATTTTGATGAAGAAAACATCATATTAAAGTTTTAGAAAAAATACTTTAATAATTTTGAATTAGGAATTATTTTGATAATTATATAAAAATGAAATTGTATCATTTTAGTATGTCCAAATATTTAAAGTATGTCGTACAAAACTACAAACTGGACGGCACAGCATTATTAAGAGGGTTCAATTAGACACTAGTGAAGTTTAAAAAAAAATTAGATCTTAAGTTGTTTAAAACTTAACTACAACTAAGTTTTGTCGTGACAAAGCATGGATGATGTAGGAAAAATAGTGTAAGCTAATTTGTTACAATTGGTTAAACTACATTAATTTGAATATCAGATAGCCCTCGGTCAAACGCCTCCTAACTCTATTCCTTCCGTAACTCAGGTCCAACTTGAAAAAGTAAAATAACCAAAATGAGTTGCGGTATCTGCTGGAGAAATTATAAGATCACTAGATTTTCACTTTACGTAGCATAAGATTGTGGATAATCTACGTTAATATGTATAAAGAGAGTTGACATGATTTCATTAGTGTTAAGCGTGGACAATATTTTAGGCTTGGCACGATTACAAGTGCCAAAAATTAGTGTATATATGTCACAATTTCAAGAAAATAATACTGTAAGCTGTGCATGGATAGAACAGCAGAAGTCGTTGCATGATATTCGATGCTATGTCCATCATGCCAATCCTATAATGCTCCTTTTTGCTTCTTATTAATTAAAGAATAAATGTTCAACTACCATTTTCAATGACTATATTAGCATCAAGGTAATATGTAAGTTACAATCCAGTGAAAATAATAGCTTTGCACAGATAGGGTCAAAGGTATCCGAAAGTTTTATAAAAGCATGCAGCATATTATATGCAATGTTAGTTAACAATGCAACATTGTCCATCGTAGAAGTACCTAACAAATCTTAATAAGTTCGTTACTCCATTTAATTTCCAGGCACACAATTTTTACTTTAGCAAAAATAAAAAAATAAGAAGAAACAACATTGTGTGTATTTTGTATTAAAAAAATGGACACGAGTGATATTAATTTGTGTAGAAATTGATACAACTCATAATTAGTAATAATGGTTCAACGACATTCGAAGAAATTAGTTGGGAGAATGTGACAGCTAAAATGCAGTAAAAGCCTTTGAGCTATTTCCAAGACGAAGATAAAAGTAAAGAGGCAAAAAAGAAGATTTTCGAGATGTGTCGTTTTTACATTGCTTCAATTTGATTGATACTAATTTCTTACGAATTACAAATTCTCTAGAATTTATTGATATTGTTGGCCTTTTTATGAAGCTAAGAAAATAGGAGTCCGAAACCTAAATAATGGTATTTTGGACTCAAAATACCTTTATACAGTTTTAAAAAAAAAGTTACCTTTCTAACTAAAACGCAGTATTATACTGCGTTTTAGTTTAACGGAAAGTTAGCCGTTAAAGGAAAACGTAGTATGATACTGCGTTTTAGGAAAACGTAGTATTATATTGCGTTTTCCTATTAAATAAACCCACTGTCTTCCCCACGACAGAAACCCACTGGTTTCAAATTAAAAAAAAAAAATCCACCCCCTTTCCAGCGGTCCCCCCACCCGATTTAAAAAAAATATTCGATTGGGCCCCACCCGTCTCACAAAAAGTGAAGAGTGTAGGTCCTGCATACAACCCAAGCCTTCGATTGTTGTTGTTTCCTTGTTTCGAGCTCAAAATTTCAAATTTCCGACATTTCTAAAAACATAAATCGAGGTATTCCGATTTAATTTATGTCGAAACTCGTATAATTATGCATATTTGTTTTCTTGAATGTGTTTCCAGCTTGATTTGTGTTTTGTTGTGCGATTAAATTTGTATGTTATTTTTTCCCGGATTAAATTATTAGTGTTTTAAAAAAAATAGTTAAAAGTTGAGAAATAATTTTATTGTTAATAAAAATGTTCATAAATTTCTTTTACTGTTTTATATGTAATTTCGTGAATGTTATGTTCATATGTTTGTTGTTTTTATTTTCTTTAGATTATTTATTTGCTTAAAGAATAGTGGCATTTTAGCATAGTAAAATATAGAGCATTGTAGCGTGGTAAAATATAGAGCCTTTTAGCGTAGTAAAATATAGAGCCTTATAGTGTAGTAAAATATAGAGTCTTTTAGCGTAGTAAAATATAGAGCCTTTTAGCGTAGAGTCTCTGTAGTTTAAGTATCTACTAACTACAAACTCTATCCAATTACACTTTACGAAAATTAATTATTTAATTTATAAAGCAAACACACAGAACTAACATATTAATATATGTTGTCAAATTAAATATCGAGCGTGGAACCCATAGATATTTACTCTGTCCAATTATATAATTAAATATTTAATTTATAAAACTAACAAAATTTTAAAAATATTAAAATTGACACACAGAAGAATTCAGGATAGTTTGGTGCTACTGAGCCTCAAATATCGAGCCTGGAACCCATAGATATTACTCTGTCCAATTAAATAATTAAATATTGATTTTATAAAACTAACAAAATTTTAAAAATATTGAAATTGACACACATAAAAATTCAGGATAGCTTGGTGACTGGGCCTCAAATATCGAGCCTGGAACCCATAGATATTTACTCTGGTAGATATTTACTCTGGCCAATTAAATATTTAATTTATAAAACTAACAAAATTTTAAAAATATTGAAATTGACACACATAAGAATTCAGGATAGCTTGGTGCTACTGGGCCTCAAATATCGGGCCTGGAACCCATAGATATATATGCCGTCCAATTAAAAATTTAAATATTAATTATTATAACACAAACACATAATTAATATTATTTAATTTACAGTAGACGACATGGACATGCCGCCTGTGCATCCTGGACCAGCCTCGGATCTGATATTAGTGTTACAGGGCGATCATAGGTCCGACTACGTATGGGAGGGACAGCTAGTGGATCAGACTTTCCGCGCCAGGAGACCGGATGACTTGTGGGACTTTTTGAGGGAGAGAGCTTTCCATCCTCGCGTAGTCGAGCGCCTCACTACTACGGGCTTTTATAGGATTTTTGAGATTGGGCGGCTGCAGCTTGACTGGTCTCTGATCACGGTGTTGATAGAGCGGTGGCGACCGGAGACGCACACTTTTCACCTGCCCATTGGCGAGGCCAGCATCACGCTGCAGGATGTTCAGGTTTTATATGGGCTACGTGCTGATGGACTGGCCGTTGCACTGCCTCAGTATATGAGATCTATGACGCGTGCCCAGTATTTGGACTTGCTGCAGCAATTTACTGGTTTCAGGCCACAGGGTGAGGATGCAGCTAGAGGGGGCAGTCGCATTGCTGTGACAGCTATCAGACAGCGTTTGGAGGTATTGCACCCCGACATCACCGGCGAGACAGATGATCTCCATATTCACCGGTACACGAGGTTGGCGGTGCTCCTTCTATTTGGGGGTGTCTTGTTCCCGAACACTTCGGGAAATCTAGTGAGTATGCGATTTCTACATCATCTTCAGCAGCTAGATAAGTTACCCCAGTACAGCTGGGGTGCTGCTTTTCACGCTTACCTGTACAGGAGTATGTGCCGGGCTAGCATGGGCACCCAGAGCGACATATGTGATTTTCTGCCGCTTCTACAAGTGACAACATATTCGAATACTCTGTTCATTACTTCCAATTCTATATAGTCAAAATGACTCTAAAATTTTACGTCGACCTTGTATGTTAGATTTGGGCCTGGGAGCGGTTCCTGCCGTTACAGCCACCTCTACCACCATTACCTCCTGGTGTAGCACCTCCGTTCCTCCCTCTAGCTACGAGATGGGTTCTCCGGCGTGGTAACTACCGAGGCATTGATGCTCATCATAATCTCCCCCTTGTTAGGGATGTGTTGGATATGCCGGAGGCCGCACAGGTAAATATGTACATAAACTTACTTGTTATAAATTCACATCCCTGGTGTGCATACTCACTTTTATGTTATTATTTGATAGTTCATCAGGACGCCATACAACGACGAGTTGATAGCTGGCCTACCCGATTATTGCTCTGTCGACCGACTGATTTGGAGCGTTTTTGTCCCGCTGATGTGCCTCGATGTTGTGGAGCATCATGCCACAGAGCGGGTACTTCGCCAGTTTGACCGTCCGCAGACTATACCGAGAGAGCCTACATGGGAGGCTACACATTATCAG